AGTTTTTTGGGCAACTTTTCTTTTCTGTTTTACTAAGTGAGGTTAATAGCATGCATACTCTCCAAGAACAGAAAAATCTGTACAACCCATGGAGGTGTTTCTCTGGTTTAGATGTTCTTCAGTTTTATAAAAGCTACAGTTGGCAAGACCTAGAAGACTTTCTACAAGTCCTCAGCTAAAATTCTTGTCAACCACCAAAGAAACTTGATCAGACTATTTTTGTTCTTGCCTCCTTAATTAAAAGAAGTTAGAGATTACGTCAGCCTTAACAGCTACATAAATATCAGTCTAAAAGAAATCTTTAATAAGTTAAAAGTAACATGTGACTGGTGCATATATTGTTTATTTTCTTCTTGTTTCCTTTTTTTTTTATTGAAAACTAAAATGCTCCTTTTTTTGTATTTCTACAAATAGAAAAAAGGTTTCCTTCACATCCAAGTATGTTTTAAGAATATCTGTTCAGCATACAATAATATAGTTTAAGTCTAATGAATCTCAATGTGTTAGATTGTAAACTAGAGCTGCACAAATGTAGTTTAGATTCCTTTCATGTTCACAATGATCCAACAGTAAAATTTGAAGTTGATGGTCACTTTTGCATGCTTATGGTTAGCATTCACTTCAGTTCTGTGCGCTAACAAATTCTGGGCAGCATGAAATTAGACAGCAACTAAATACGTGCTTTCTGTGATGTATGTCAAATAAGAGTCTTAAAGCCATTTCCAGTTCCTGTTATAGTGACTTGTACTAAAACAAAAACTACATGATAAAAAAAAAAAAATGGTTTCTGCAAGAAAAATTGTCACTTGGACATCAAATTGAGGTAATAACACTCATATAAAGTATAAGAATGAAATGTTGGCCTGCTTTGGTTAAAAAATGGGGCCAGTGTGGGATTTTTCAAGAAATCTATTATAACACCTTTGTAGATGTAGATGAAACAAGTATGGAAGTGCAATAACCCAAGTCAACTACTATGTAGTCTTCACTTATCTCTCTACCGTGCAGATATTTCTATATCTAAGGGAAACAAATTCCAGGACATTACAACTTTTTTTCTTTTTTATGCTTTTTTTCTTCTATATATACTCTTTTTTTATTGTCTGTTGTATTTTTATCTTTAATGGCATCTTGCTTTAACTCTTTGTACTCTATTTAAGCTACTGGAATCAGAACTTCCCCGAAGGATTAATCGCAACCTATAAATAAATTTGAGTCTAAGTCTCTTTGGAAAAAGAGAAATCAAGGTTTGGTGGAGGACAACTTGGGGTAGAGAGAGAGAACCTTAATCATCCTGGATGTGTTGAGCCATTTTAAACTAAGCAAGAACCTTCAGAAGATAACTAAATGATTTTTTTTTTTATATGGATTGTAGTGAGTCAAGTAGCCTTTTGTGAACCTGGTCTTATCTAATACCAATCTAGATCAAGTATCCTACATGTAGGGCTCACATATGCATGCTGGCTGAGGGGCATCACTGAAATTATTTAAAAACTATAATACATAGAAAGGTCAAATATGGTTTAAAGCGTAGTAAAAAGACACATATTTTGATTTGTAAATTGTTTACTGGTCTTTATTGGTCTTTTTTTAGCATGGGACCACTTTAGGTCTAGCTCAAAAATACCATACTTAGACCCAAAATATTCCACATGGATAATAATAACTACAGAACAGACTGGTGAGCTTATAAAACTCTAATTATGTAGTCAAAATTTCACTGTAGTTTTCAAACTTGTGTCCAAAGGTGATTTGAAATCAATACAAAACTTAAAATCTGTTTGTTTCTTTTTTTGTCATAAACTAAGTAAAGGTTTTAAAATTGACACAATTAAGTATATTTGCCATTAGTTTGAATGTATTATATCAGATTTGGACTTCTCTGGGTTGTATAGCTATGTGTCTCATCAAATGTATCCCAACAAACTATACTTTATTGATTGTTTCTTAACTACATATTAATTTTATTCCCGTTTGACCTGATTATATATGTGTATTGATTTGATATGCAGTCTAAGAAAATAATTAAGGAAAATATGTTTTTATGAAATCAATTAGGGCTTCACAACTAAAAAAAAAAATGTTTTTCCTCAGCATATATCATTAGTCTGAAATAATATTGTCCATCTGACCATTCCAAGTATTGCAGTTTGTGAAATTTGGTGGAATATCCCTTTAGCTCCGTCCAGATGTGAATCAGAAGCCAACTTCGAGCTGGTCAGCTCTAGAGTTATCCAGCTGTAGCTCGGCGGGCAGCTATGTAAATATCACCAAGTGTTACCAGTGACACCGGCAGCTTTATCCCTATAATTGATTTTCCACCTATAACAATGCAGCCTTTATTTTAAATTAATGGATTCATTTAGGCGCACTGGCCACCCACAGAGCGCGCGCCGCAGCTTCTGGCCCCTATGTTGCTATAATCTTCATTTTTTTAATTTTATTTATTTATTTTTTTTATTTCTAAAGTTAATATACATACTTTTCATCTGCAACACATCTGCAAGAACACGATCACTTGTTTTGCCAAAGCAGACTATAGTTTATTAGAGTCATCTATGCCAGACACGCAGACAATGGGCTTGAATCAAATCTCCAATCGGGGGTCACACCTTGTTAGCACCGCCATTAGTCTCCCTTTACATTCGCTGATTGGTGATTTACATTTGCAGCCAAATAACATCTTTACTGCTGTTTACCGAGGCTGCAGAGGGGAACCGGGCCATTTGATATAAAAAGTGGAGCATCGGGGTCTCCAGAGTCATTCCAGCTCCAAGCTTCGTTCAAACAGACCAACATGTTGGGTTTTGCGCTCATTTCTGCGTCTCTGCTGTGGGTCACAGCATCCTGGCCTGCGCATCATTTCCCCTCAGAAAGAGAGTCAGACGAGGTCCGCTCAGCTGCCATTAAAAGACTCCTGGAGGTATTTGGGATGGATGACCCTCCTGCTGTCCATGCGTACAAGCAGCCTCCTCAGTACATGCTGGATCTGTACAACACGGTGGCTGATGTGGACGGTGTGACCAAGGATCCCTACCTGCTGGAGGGGAATACAGTGCGCAGCTTTTTTGACAAATGTAAGCTTCTTCTATTTTATTTCTTCAATACATTCAGAGTAGAAAAGTTAAATGTTCTTATAGTGATTTTTTTTTATTGCAGTGCACAGTGAACAGGTGGAGTTCAAGTTTAATTTGTCTTCTGTGGCAAGAAGTGAGAAGGTCCTCACAGCAGAGCTGCATCTCTTTAAGCTGAGACCCCAATTATACCTCACATTCAGCAGACACCACTTCTGCCAGGTATGTTCATCTATGTGAATAATTCAATTACTGCATGCAGAGGAGCCCAGCTGCTGTATGGTGTTGTCCCTTAGGCATAGCCAAAAAATTTTAAGGGTGTCCAGGCAATAACTGATAAATACTGAGGGGTGGCTGAAAGTGGATAGGCATCAAAACCTCAGGGTCAATCTTCTCTGATCCAACAGGACAATTAACGAGAAAAACATCCATATTTTCTAAATAAAGACAAACTATACTTTCCCACAGCCTTTGCTAACTAATAGATGGATATATTCAAACATCCATACTTTCTAGATAAAAGGTATAGTGGATAAATTTCTTTCATGTTTGAGTTTTGGGCAAACATCTTTTCCTTTGTCATTACTTACCTGCTTTTATAAGTAATCATTCTGCATAAAATTGACATTTGCAAGCACTAATATCTACATAAATTGATTATTTAAAACGTTTTTATTAAAATAGTTTTTTATCTATTTATCCTAGATGACTTGCAGAGATGCATCATTTTCTCTTTACCCCATAAAACACAAAATCTATTTCTGCCTGAATTCTGTATTTATCATCTTTAATTTTAGTATATTGATGTGCATAATTAACCGCAGTGTTTTTGTTGTCAAGTAATTATCAATGTATGAAAAATTAAAATGTTTTGAATATTCCACTTGAGACTATTACAGTTGCCACTGTCTGTATTAGAGGGAAATAAATGGTAGGGACGGCCACAGGGGTGGCCTACTATTGGCTAAGGGCGGCCATGGCCACCCCTGGCCCCCCATCTAGCTCCGCCCCTGCCCTTTTGAGTCTATCTGTTGTTGTTTTTTTACATCTAGACTTTTGTCAATTTCATCTTCAAAATTTAGCTAAGGCTCAATCAGATTTGATGTAGAGCATCTTTGAAGTTGACATTTTAAAAATTTGGTACGGCTTTTAAAGTGGAAGTCTGACAGGATATGCTCACAAAATTATTCTATTGTAGCTCTAGATGTAGAATTAAAGTTGGTGTCAAACTGCAGGGTGATTCTCTGCCAAACTCTCAGGTTTGTTAACACTTGAAAACCTTTTTTTTCTGCTACATCGATCCTCTTATGAGCTCTCACCAGCTTCCCTTTCTCTAATAAAGAAATAAATCCCACAGTATGATACTGCCACCACATTTATGGTGCTGGTTTTCCACAGCCCAGTGTCTTATATGTATCCCAAAGGTTCAGTATTGGTCAGATTTGGTTAGCTGGCCTGTTTTCCTTTGAATATGTCAAATTTCAACTTAAACTTAACCCCAGGGATACACTGGCAGCTTCAGGATTTGAATATATCTCTTGAAGTGAGAGTTTTATTCATTGGTTGCTTTTTCAATTCTCCATCATTCAGGTCAGCGTTTATCAGATTCTGGATGGCAGCAAAACAAACAGCACACAGCCAAAGAAGTTGTTGTCTTCTCGACTCATCCCAGTCCACTCAACCGGATGGGAAGTATTCACAGTCACACAAGCTGTAAGTATCGCCTGAAACTCAAATACTTCCAGCCTCAGCCTAAGCTGGGTGGTGTATAAAAATAAAAATTGCTTTCTAACTGAAATCCCAAAGGTCCGCTCATGGATGGCAGATGAAAGCAGTAACTTGGGGCTCCATGTGGTGGTCAGGACCCTGGGGGGAAGCCAGGCGGACCAGAAACTGATCCGCTTTGCTTCAGGGCGCCACCATCACCTGAGCAAACAGCCCATGCTGGTTCTCTTCACCGATGACGGCCGTCGCTCTGCTGCCCTCGAGAGCACAAGTAAGATTTATATCAGTTTTAATGTCATTTATAAACGCTGAATACACCCAAGAGACATAAAATAGAACCGTGAGTGTTTTGTCCCATCTTGGACTGTTAAGAAAGACTTTGGTGGAAACTTAGTGTCGTAACTTGCATACCTTTTGTTTTTTTTATATTGCTTTTCTTAAAAATTTGCTAATATTACTTAAAATATTAATTTTACTTGATGACTGCCTTTGAAACTTCTAACGTACTAGGACGTTTGCATGAAACGTCAGCTTGCAGCAGCTGCAGACTTGTTTTGCGTGTGTGACTTCAGGTCCATGATGACAGTTTTTATTATAGATAAAAGAAGCCGAGCCGAGCATTGAGTGATTATTTTGTGCATATGGGTCGTATCCTCAGGTAACCCTTTATCAGGCTTGTATTTTTTTTAAACCAATCAAGATCAAGGACCACACAAGTTTTCTTTGTAGCTGGATTTTATGAATATGAAAACGTGTAGAAAGGCCAAATAAAAATTTGAGTATTTTATTTTGACAGAACCTAGAAAAAACAAATTGATTTTTAAAACTGCACTCACTCAAATGGATTAGTTACATTTTATTGTGTTTTATATTGACTTTAGACATAAACCTTTGAAACGATACAATATTCAACTATTTACATGAGTCAATTACAAGTGGAAAAACATTAAAGAAGTAAACACTAAGAAACAAAGCTTACCAGAAATTTAGATTTTATCTTTAAGAGTGTTGCTAAGTGAACTCAATTTACAGGCTAAACATTTTCAATTTATTCTATGGATCTGAAATGTAAACTATTCACTAGAAGACCACATTTTAATATAAACATTTTACGTATAGTTTATTAGTAATGACTGTCTTTGAAAAATCTCATTTAAAAATTTTAGAACCTATTCCAAGAAGGGGATATTTAGTTTCCCTGACTTGGTAGCTGGTAAGTTAGTGTAGCCATGTTAGGGTTAGGTTAGTTAAAGCTGGATACAAACTTAAATCTAAAATTCAAGAAAGAAATGTCTTGGCTTCCACCAAGAGTCAGGAGCTCTGACCTTTTACTAAGTTGATATATTCTTAAATATCCTGTAAATACCAGCTAACAACTGACAGAAAGAAACTTCTTTTTTGTAATTCTAATCAAGGTTTTGTAGTTAATCTTAAAATACAACCACTGTTAAAAATTACATTACAATTTTTATTTTAACTAACATGAATACTTTGTCTGTGTTTTCGGTACATTAATATACTGTAACCAAATATCTGATCATGCTTACTCATCTAAAACATCTCCCTTTTTTTCTCCTCCAGCTCCCCATGAGGCGATTGCCACGTCCCTCCTCCCTCAGACCCCTACATCGATCAAATCTTCCCGTACCGCTCGCTCCCTGGACTACGGCGAGGAGGAAGGCCGCTCCAAGCCCTGCCAGCGCCTGCCTCTGTATGTGGACTTCGAGGAGATTGGCTGGTCGGGGTGGATCGTGTCTCCCCGGGGCTACAATGCTTATCACTGCAAGGGGTCCTGCTCCTTCCCTTTGGGTCAGAACATGAGGCCGACCAACCATGCCACCGTCCAGTCCATCATCAATGCCCTGAAGCTGATCCGAGGCATTGAGACGCCGTGCTGCGTGCCCGACAAGCTTTATTCCATCAACCTGCTGTACTTTGATGACGATGAGAACGTTGTTTTAAAGCAGTATAATGACATGGTGGCTGGAAGCTGTGGCTGTCACTGATGTCATAAAGCCTCTTGTGTAGAGCGACACAGCTTCTGCCAGATTTAATTTTCACTCTTACCCATCCTGTTGCCCTTTCACTATTAACTCATGAGCTAGACAAACAATACTGTAATATATGTAAATAACCACATAAATTATAATATATGACTGTGATGGAAGAGATAGCCACAAAATGTGTAAATATGTATATGTTATGTTTTGTTGTTTTTTATTTTTATGAGGTAAGAATAAATTGTTTTTTAATGGAGCTTCTGTATCTTCAATTAATCAATCAATTTATTTGTCTGTCTGTTTATCTATCTATCCATCCATCCATCCATCCCTCCATCCATCCTGACATCAATAAGTGAATTACTGTTAAGAAAAGTTAATCATTATAACAAGGATGGACAAACTAACTACAAGTCTAATGTATTTTGGAGCTAAGCCATGCAGGGATTTATAGACATATATATTTTTTTTTTTCTAAGAAAGTCAGGGATGAAGTGGAAGAGCTTTCGGACCGAGGTGATGTACTCCTCTTTCTTAGCTTTACTGGGGAAGCAGGCAGCAGCATTCTGATCATTTTAGGCAGACCTGTGATAAAACCGTTGCACTAATCAATTCTATTAAAAGTGAACGCATGAATTTGTTTTTTTAAGATCCTGCTGAGACATTAGTTCTTTCATTCTGGAGATGTTCTTTAGGTGATAAAAGGCCAACTTTGTTACTGTCTTTATAAGCCTCAGAAGGATCAGGGCTAAGATAATCTTTACACACAGATTGGCAGATGTTATTATATTGATGTTAATGGTTTATTCCTGTGTTTGAAGATCAAACTGGTAAGATGACTGCTGCCAACCTTTGGTTTAGAGGGGAACTGTTTGTTCTTGATCTGATTAATTACTTCCATAGAAGAACATCAGGCGGCTCTCTCTATAGCACTGAATTGAACTATAGAAGTATGGAAAATTAAATTAATTAATTAATTAAATAAAAATAATAAATTGTCACTATATATTCCATTAAATAAATGAATATCTCTATAAAATAAACTTTAAATAAACAAAGTGAACTTTTAATTATTCAAAGATTTATTAAGTACTTATTTTATGTATTGCATTATTTATCTATTATCTTGAAATACAACATACTTTTACAACTAAAATATTAATATATTACTAAAATATGT